GATGGAGCCTGATGTCCTGCTGAGCATTAAATAATGTGGACATGACTTCTGAATGGCATCAAGCAACACAGTGCCATGCTAGTTAACAGCCAGTTTACATGTGTTACCAGTGTATGTGTGATATAAGCTGAAATCAGTTCTAGTTTGAGGATTTTTTCAGCACTTTATCAAAATGAGCTCAGTGGTGAGCAGCTGTGAGAATTTATACATCATGGACCAATAAATACCCCTAGCAGATTGCATCATACAAAACCTATTTAGTCAATCAGCTTCTTACTAACAGTGATAGGGTCCAGCATGAGCACAGAAATTGTGCACAGAGATTTGTGTATTTGTGTTTTTCCTTTCCTCACTAGTTTGAAAAGTGATGTCACATTCTTTTGTGCATGGAACACGTACGCAGACCACCTTCTGTGGAAGGTCCTCTGCAGCCGTGTGTGTCCAACAAACCTTAAGGTTTTTGCAATATCTGGATGTAAGTCTTATGCCAGTCGGGGATGTTTGCTTGTGTTACTGGACCACTGTCAACCAGATTTCATCAGATCGCACTTGGCCCTGAAAAAGCAGATTAGTTTGAGTTTTTGACTATTTAACTTTGAATAGATAATATAGAAGGATGTTTTTTTTCTGAGCTTCAACTTTGATTGCTTCTTATTTATTAATCAGTATTCTAAAAGATACTACTTGAGATTTAAAACCAAATTTTTAGAGGCTCTAATTGTTGAATTTAGCTGATACTAGAATAGAGAAGAAATAAAGTAAATAAAGTAAAACTCCATGAAGGTGAATATGAAAGTGTTGTGGCTTCAAACAAGACAGGGTGCTGGACAAAGGCAGGTTTATTAAGAAGGACTACATCTGGCACCACCTGTACAGGATCCAGTGTCAGAGTGTCAGATGTAATCCCGTGATCAGCTTGTGCTCTCCAGCTCAGGTGGTCCCAGTTTGCCCCCCTATCCCCACCCTCACCCAGATGGACTGGTTGGCCACAGATGAGAGGCAGCGTGCCTCAGTAACAGGAGTTTGGATGTGCCTACCGCCACGTGCGACAGAGTATGGCACGACTCAAGTCAAGTTCATCCAAGCATGTATTTGTTTTTGTTTTGTTTTGTTTTTTTCATTTCTCCTCCTGCTCCTCCTTCACTTATAGTATTGATTTACATTCAATGACTCGTTTCACCACACCAGCAGGTTCAGTAGATAGGCGTCATAAACAGCTGTCACAGATTTAGCAGTTTAACACTGACGTATTATTAGGCAACGATTTCTTCAAGCAGCGAGCCTCACGCTGTGTCTAGAATGAGAATGACTGCAGTGGGCCGCCGCCTCCTTGTCAAGGCCACAGACATCTCTCAGCCTCAGTCTCTCCCCCCTACATTATGACAGATGTCTGCTGATGACTTGGCAAGATGCTATAATAGTGATGTTACTCAGACAACCTTAGGGTAACACTGTGAAGAGCATTAGCAAAGTCGTTTTTATTGTCAGTCTGAAGATGCATAAAAACACATTACCCCTGGTTCTTTCTTTTCTTTTTTTTGTAATGTCTTTGTTTAAAACTTATCTCTAACTTTACTTTGCAGAGTTTCTTTGATGGCTGGGATGTCACCAAAAAGAAGGACAAGACCAAAGGAAGGCAGGATAGCTTGCTTAGCCGTAAGTGTTTGTGCACCAGTGCATTTCGCCCAGTGGGTTAAATAGTGAGTTAGGATGAAAAGCTGATGCCATTCTTACTTGGTTCTGCTCAAATCTGTCTTTTATTGTAGGTTACAGCACTGCTAAACAATAACTTTTTTATGCTTACACTGTGAATTAGTTTACTATTTAATGACTTCGCTGCCTGTATCCTGTGAGTCAAAGGCCACCCAGCAATTATTTTTACTCCCAGTTGAATTCTAGAAAAGAACAATTCATGCCATAATGTAATTAGGGTTTGATTAATTAAAATTGATTCCTTAACAGCGGCTTTAATATTGTTTTAGAATTAAGCTCAATATCTTAATATTGGTTGTTCTGTAGAGTCACTGTGGAATGCCGTCAGAGTCTTTACAGTCTGAGACACTGAAACTTGATAAAATTCCTCAATGTGTGGTGGCAGCTTATAAAGGTTGAGGCAGGATTCATCATAGAAATTGCTTAAAACGATAATTCCAGTGTATTAGAACCAGGAGCTTATTTGGCCATCATTTTAATCAGTCAAGGGCATAGTGAACTTTAATTTGTACTGCGCAGTGACAGCAGTATTAACCTTCATCGACGCCTTTGACGAACGCATTTGGAACTTGTTTTGCTCAGGCTTGTAGCTCTTAGTCCACATCAAGGCTGCCATAGCTGTTATCTGTGGCGCTTGTATAAACTGAGGAAAGCATGCAGAGATGAATTAAGACTGAAAATTTACTAGTCTTCCTCTGCGTGTTTTGAGAAGAAAGAGCTAATAAAATTTAGATTTTGATTTACAGATGACAGTTTGTAATTTTACAGCTGTAATAAAAAGCCAAGACAGTTGATCAACAGTCGAAGCTGTTTCTGAGAGTTTCTGAGTTTCTGAGCTATTGATTTCTGCTGATTAAAACAGTATTTCAGTCTTAAAGTCTTTGCATGTCTTTGAGTCTTCCATGACTTACAGTTATACATGTCCATGTCCCCTGGAGAATCACTAGCTCCAGGGCATAAACACTTGGATGTCCCACAGCTTCCTCCAGCTTCATAATGGCATGACTGAAATCCTTGCAGTTGATGCTAAGCCTCTGTGGAAGGAGGTGCGTTCTCTTCTAGCCTCTTCTGACAAGTAGTACACAGGTTGGAAATGTGGGTGTCACCTGTGATTCAGAGTTAACACTTCAGAACCAGTCCCCAACATCACAAACACATTTATCATTTAAAGAATAAATCTAGAGCAAGAGGTTTCTTATCTGAGGCAGATGCACAACAACTTATGCATTTATTTCTTGTCAGAGTTTTGCAAAACCCTTTTCTCTGGTCTGCCTGAACAGACTGTGGCCAGACCACTGCTAATCCCAAATGCTGCTACCAGAATCCAGATGTTAGACATCTGCACTGGTTACCAGTTAGTTTTAGGACTGACTATAAACTTGTACTTTCCATCTATAAAGCCCTAAATGGCCTGGCTCCACAGTGCCTCTGTGACCTGTTCAGTCAGTAGGAACCTATTCGAGCTCTCTGGTCTCCTGGGTTTGACCTTCTGATTGCTTTGAGAGTTGAACCAAAACCTTGTAAGGTGGCTTTTGGTTGTTGCCGCCCCTGCTGCTGGGCTGTCTTACCAGACTGTATTTGATGTGTCCCAATGTTCACTGTTTTGAAAAGCAGCCTGAAAGTTTTCCTGGTTTCTTAAACATTAGTTTAGTATTAGTGTTTGGCCCAAATAATTTTGGTGACTCTCCCACAGTTGATCTGGGTTGCTTGCAGGAGTATGTGCAGTCGACTGTTACAAGCCTAGGTGTCAAAATAGATTCCAATTTTAGATTGGAAGATCAAGTGAACGTGCTTGTAAGGGCTAGCTTTTTTCACCTTCGACAGCTGGCAAAGGTAAAGCCTTTTCTTTCGTGGCAGCAGTTTGAGACAGCAATACATGTGTTTATTACATCTCGCCTGGATTATTGTAATGCGTTCTATTTTGGGCTTAGTCAGACGTCCCTTGCCCATCTTCAGAGAGTTCAAAATGCGGCTGCTCATTTACTGGTTGGGGGCGCAAAGGGGAGCGTATCACTCCCATTTTGGCTTCTCTTCACTGGCTGCCGGTGTATTTTAGAATCCATTTTAAGATTCTTTTATTTGTTTATAAGTCCTTAAATTGTTTGGCCCCCTCTTATTTTACAGAGTTGTTGCGTCCCTATAGTCCTTCTCGGTGCCTCAGATCAGCTGATCAGCTGCTTCTGGAGATACCAAGGGCTAGGCTGAGACTTAGGGGGACAGGGCTTTTGCTGTGGTGGCTCCAAAGTTGTGGAATGCATTGCCCCTATACACCAGGCAGGCCCCCCTCGTTGTCCACTTTTACAGTGTATTTGAAAACTCATCTGTATCTTTTGGCATTTGATCCAGTATGAGGCTTTGTTTTGTTGAGGTTTTTTGTTTTATGATGGGTGGTTGTTTAATTGTAATTTTGTTTTATTGTTGTGTTTTGTGTTAAGCACTTTGGTCAGCTGTTGCTGTGTTAAGTGTGCTATATAAATAAAGTTGATGATGATTAGTTTGGTATGTTTAAAGTGTCAGACTGAGCTGCTTGGTTGTCTATGTTTATGGGGATGTTTTCTATGAGTATACTGTATGTGCGTGCTGAGTAGACACACTTTTGTTTTGATTTGAAGCACATTGAATCTCCCCTGGAATGAAAATTTTGCTTTAGCTTTTTGCGTACTTGCTTTATTTTATTTTTTCAGTAGTATTGTGATTAGTGGTGTGCACTAAAGCATTGTAAGACTAAATGCCATCTAAGTTTTGTTCATTAATACATAAATGTATGCAACATCTTGAATTCTTATGTATGGAAAGTGTTCCCTTCAGTTTTATAATAATGTGCTATTTGCTAGGTTATATATATAATACATGCATGAAAATGTTTCTTTTATCTGTGTTGTACCAATGCAAACTGTACTAATGGGTTGTTTTGATCAGAGGTAGTGTTACTTTTTCAAAAATTAATGTTGGGTTATTTGTGTAAGTCATTTTTAAAAGAGCTGAAGGAGATTATAACAGTTGGCAACTACATCATAGTTTGAGTAAATAAAGTAACTGTAAAATTAAAAATAACACTAACACTTGGTTCATTTGGTAGTGTGCTGGTCTACTCATGGGCATTGGGTAACATTATCCAAAAAGTGGTTCATTGTTAACACCAGTGGCCAGAGGCATAAAACTCTGTGTAGATTCACAACTAAAACTGTGTGCATATGCATTTTTCATCACATTCATAACCACACACATGCCTGGTTCTGTTTTATAAATCTCAGTCACTGGGGAAATAGCTGCTCAAGCCTCATTTACAGTCCCACAGTTCACCATAAATGATGTACAGTAGAATTGGCCATAAACATTTATTTGCATATCAATACTTGTGCCTGTTTCACCACTCATTAGACCTGTCAGTGACAAGAACGGCAACAGCATTGAGGTTGAAGTAAAAGATTACTGATATAATGAAATAATGGCTCGGGTAGAATTTAAAAAATGATAAACTTCCATCACTGCTGTTGTTGAAACAGCTGTTTCAGTTTAAGCTTATGATTGAGCCTTTGGTTAAAATTTGAAAGAGGGTACAGTCAGGACGAGTCACCGAGCGACACAATGTTTTACTAAGAGATTGCATCTTTCATTTTATATTTGTTTTCATCATTTCACCCATAGCTGCCTCTAGAAAGCTGACTATAAGCCTTCTCTGAAGGGTGTGTCACACACATTCTCTTTCAAATACCAGTTCATGTGTGGGAACTAGCATGTGCATGTTTTTGTGTGTATGCATCATTAATACATCTTGGCCCTGGAGTCAAATGGTGAGTTAGGTTGTAAACAAGCCAACAGATTATCTAAACCATTCATTGGTACAGTATGTGAAATTTTGGATAGGTATGCCCAAAAGGTTTGAACTGATCTGTTTAATCATCTGACTGGTTCTGTTACTTGGCCCAGTCTGACTTAGTGAAGTTGTATAGTTCCCTGATGTCATTAACTGATTGAGTGCAATGTTACTACTGGATGTTCATGTAAGAAACAATGATAAAGCCGCATTCTTACCTTCATTATGTGAGAGGGATAACCTCAGTGCTGCTTTTTATGATTAATAAAATACTGTATATTATATTGGCTAATAGATCAATCTTGTTTTTTGTGCATTTCAGATGATCGCCATCGGGTCAAACTCCACTCTCTGCTTGCAGACCCAAGTTCTGATTATGTCAATGCCAACTACATAGATGTAAGTGACCTGTTGTCTTATTTTACCTCATCTTTTTGCTTCATACTTCTTCATCTCTGTCTTTGCTGATCTGCCTTTAGGGCTCATACAAGTCATCTTTTTGTTGTGGTTGATGCAGTGCTGCACTACAGGACATCTCCACATGCTGTCTGAGGTTGTGTGAGCTCTCTGGTATTCAAACTGTCATTTAGTAACTACAACCACAACGTAGCATTATATCTAGGCATTCTAGTACATGCAGGCTTTGAGGTGAGATTTTATTGTAGCAACTCCAGAGATCCTACAGGAGCCCATGAGCTCAGCGCATCGAGTCTCATGACTCACCTAAATGCCTTTTTGTAAGGTGACATTGCAACAGAAATTGGACCCACTATAACACAGCTGATCCTTTCATCTGCTTTCAGATATTTTGATCTCACCTACAGTTTGGCTCGAGTGAGTATCTCGGGGAGCCTCTCCGGTCCCAGCAGCTGTTCACGTATCGACACTGTCTCAAGGACAGTCAGTTTTTTCTTTGGTTCGGGCTGTGAGTTCTGCTGCTCACTCACTGTGGAACAGTCGTTTCCACTGTAGGAACTTACTGACCCTTAACAGAACTTGTACCCCTGAGCACTGCTTTTGTTTCCACTGACCCCCACCCATTTTGAAGACAAGTTCCAGGAGCTAAATGTCGGCCCCCCTCAGGAGGTAGAACTAAATCAAATTCCAGGTAGAGGTGGAAAGTAACTAAGTACATTTACTCAAGTACTGTACTTAAGTGCAGTTTTAAGGTATCTGTACCTGAGTATTTTCATTTTCTGCTATTTCATACTTCAACTTCACTACATTTCAGAGAAAAATATTGTACTTGTACTCACTACATTTATTTGATTAGTTACTTTTCAGAATGAGGCTAGTAAAACAAAATGCAGTATAATCATGAGATTTTTGATTCTTGGTGTAAAATTCACAAGCTACCCAGCAGTAATTTAAATTATAGGCATGTAAGGTATTTAAAACTAGCTCTACCTTTACCAGCTGCAACATTTAAATGTGATGTACACAATAATGCATTAGTAATTATAATTGATTAATATGATGTACATTAATGTAAATAATGCCATTTTGCATAAGCAGTGCTTTTACATTTGGCACTTTAAGTATGTTTACTGCTAAAACTTTTGTACTTTTACTTAAGTAACATTTTGAATGCATTACATTTCACTTGTAGCAGAGTATTTGTACAGTGGCTACTTTTACTTAAGTAAATGATCTGAGTACTTCTTCTATCACTGGTTCCAGGTACTTGAGGGTGGAGAGGGTGGGCGCTTGTAGTGTTGTCGCCCAGACTGGTTAAAGGTCAGCGCCATCACGTCTTAAGTGTTACATTACAAGAACAATGTGTAAATATGCACTCAGATGCTTTGTTTCCACTATCAAATCCTAAAGAGTGCACTTCTGTACTAAGCCCTGTACTTCTCCCTGCTTAACCTCCCGGGCTGACACAGACCATCCTGCTCAGTTTTTCCACAGTATTTTCTTTGTGGTGGTCTCTGTTTAGAGGTGGGAGGGGCTGCTCCCCTCTCATATGCAGTCAGCTGAGCAGATGTGAAGGATCACTCCGTAGTGCAACAATCAGCCAGTAACAGTGTATAAGCAGTTTATCAAACAGCTGCTGAATGAGGAGAACACAGACTTACAGAAATGTGACGTCTTCACTGCTTTGCCCGTGGTCCACTCACTGAAGCCCCTGTTTTGCCTCTAACCCAGTATAAGTGCCTCTTTACATACGGTGCTTGTAATGCTGATGACTGAGATGTGAAGAGGACATTAAGCCAGTCATGGGCAACTGGTGAAAAACCCTTATACCGGTTTAGATATACAACAGGCAGCAAGTTGACTACAGGCAAAGTACAGAAGACTTCACGTCCTCTGCTCAGCTTTATGTGCGTGTAAGGAGCACAGCCCCCCCTTAAGGAAACAGGGCCTGGAAAAATCCAGTGGAAAAGCAAAGTGGAACCAACCATATCAGCCTTTCAAAGTTCGCCAGATTACAGGTATGGGAAGCTCCTGGTTACAGCTTGTTAAGTTCTCATGGTGGAAAAAAGCTAGAATGGTCACTTGAGGGTGACTTTCAAAAGCTGTCATCAGTCTTTCCTCTGTTTTTGGCACAACCTACTGAAGTACTCATCTCAGGCTTTAACATGAGATGTTATAGTTTCTGAATGCTGTATTACGTCCTGTGTTTCTGCTGTTGTTTGCTGAACAAGAGGAAGCAAACAGAAAGGGCCACATCGGCACTAGATGTCTGACTCAGCGCATGTGGATGGCAGCAATTAAAGTGGAACATCAACACTCACAGTGTTGTTCATGGCTTCCTTGGTACTCTGTGAGGGCTCCGTTACGGCAGATTCTCCAAGGACCTTTGTGTCATTAGCTGTGATGTCTACAGCACTGCCTGCTTGTCATACAATGACCCCTGGCTCACAACACTGCAATGAAATGATTCCAAATGATTCATGGATGAGAACAAGATTGGAATAAATGTAATAGTGCTTTTTTAAAAGGTTCAAATGGACAGGTCTGCTATCTTCTACACTCATGCACATGCAAGTTTACATCATTTTTCTCATTCATGGGTAGTGAGCCATGGCATTTTTGTGTCAAATCGTTAGATGGCCCTTTTGTTACCATCTCACAGATGTCATACAAAGGGACACCATCCCTACTTTTAGTTCTTAGCGGATTTTGGGTTTGCTAGTCTAAACACTCACTGTCAGGTAGTCTTTGGTTGCTCTGGTGCTCTGAAAGTAATGCCTGTTACATTTCTGTTGGAAGCAGCAGTAATTTGTTTGGGATAAGGAAAAGTGGGAATAAGGATGAGAGTAACGGCTGCCATGGCTGAGCAGGCAAATCCAAAAGCTTCATTTCTTTGAATGACAAATTCTGCTTTAGCTTAAGCCTCAGTATACTGTAAGGGTCTTTGTCTGTCTTTGGAAGGCAGGGTGACCCACTTTATAACGCCATGCCACCTTAAACTACCCCTGAAGGAGAATCTCAGTTTCATTCAGACAACTTTCACCTACTTAGTTAAGTCATTTTTGAGCATCAACTTAATTTACTCAGCTTAATTTCTGAGATTGTACAGCAAACTAGCTAAAAATCCAGTTTATTTTATTTGGTTGTCAGCCTTCTCACTAACACTGAACTTCAAAAATCAACCCTAAACCTTGTGCGTGCGCACTTTTATGTACATGGAGGGTTTTTAATCTGTATTTTGGTTTTGGTTTTAACTCAAAGCAAAGTGATTGAGATGGATAAACTGCCAGCTTGTCTACATTCTGTCTGATTGTCAAAGTGTCATAACCGACAGATAGCACAGTCAAAACCACAAAAATAAGACCCAAGTTGTAAAAACATTGGATCCTTCTTTTAGGTAGACTGTTAACCCGATTCGAGGTTATAAGATGCATTTTTCAAACCAGTATGGCTCATTTCAAAGATGGACAATGGAGGCTGCCCGTGCAGGTACAACCCAGGATGGGAGTGGACCTGTTAGACCCAAGAGGCCACGTTCTGTATCACAGAAACAGTGCGACAAAGAATGAGGCCAAACCAGGGTTAACATTGGTTTGGCATGTTGGAGATGGAAAGCATTAAAAGCATTTGACACATTTGTGGCTTTTTTCCTGCTAGATGCATAAGTGCTATAGCTGGCTAATGTGTATATGTCGGTATCATTAGCAAGCTAATGTTAGCTTTTCAATTTTGTACCTTTGTACTGAATTATTCTGGGTGTAATTTAGAATCATTCCAACTGATGGCAACATTAGTGGTTTATTGTCCAATTAGCAAAAACCAGTGCCTTTTCCTGAATTAGGAATTGATGTAATTTTGCTCTGGTTACTTTAAGGTTAGGTATTGTATAGCTAAACTATGGTCAACTAAAACTCATAGTTAAGGCTGGTGAAGGTATATATATCGATATTGGCAAGGGTTAGATATATTTTGGACGGGAAAAGCATTATGCATTTTGTATTCTTCATTGATCTTACCATACTTAGAGTATGGCGTTGAAAACTGGGGAAATACATACAAAAGCTCACTTCAACCATTGTATATATTACAAAAAAGAACGATAAGAATTGTGCATAAGATGGGGTATAGGGATCACACCAATGTAGCTTTCATACAGTCTAAATTGTTACAATTTTTGGATATAGTGGGATATAAGACTGCTGTGTTTATGTATAAAGCCAGGAACAATTTATTACCTGGTGGAATTCAAAAACTATTTAATGAAAGGGAAGGGGGATACAATTTAAGGGGTCAGTTAAATTTAAAAATTCATGCTATAC